GAGTCAAAAAATCTCTCTCTCTCTTCAATCCTCTACTTTAAAGTTAAACTTCTCTCTCAAAACTTAAATAAGACAGTGCCAACATTACAAAGCTAAAGAGAGAGAACAGTAGTGGGAAACAACCCATGAGAACGTCATATGCGGCACGATTCCCCATATCTCAACATACCGAAAAACCCTGTAGTTCGGCCTCGACATGCTTCATAATCACCACCGCGCCCTTGGACTGTTCCTTAGTCAAGGGCGACGTAAGGGCCAAGATGGCAAGTCGTAATTCATCAGGAAGTCTGATAAGCTGCATCGTAGATAAGTTTTTCGTCTTCCTTCACGCGTGTCTTCCCTCGCCATGCTGCGTCAAGGCAAGACTACGCGATATGTTTGTTTACCTTATATACTAATATTTTAAAAAATATTTTAAATTTTGATTTTATGACGAATAGATCAGATTTCATAAAATAATCGAAAATATCTAGAACGAAATTCAACTATTTGAAATATATGGGAAGAAAGTGATTCGAACGACGGCATTCTTTTAGGCTTTACTCTTGCCTTGGCCTCTCCCTTAACCCAACATGGCAGGTCTCTCCGATGATTACTATTCCCGGTAAGATTGAATATTTCTCTGAACAGGATGTGAGTATGGATATTATTTCGCCCTGGACGTTGCCCAATCAGTTTGTAAGGAGCCAGGGAGAAAATTAGCGCCCATTTTGGTTCCGAGATGTGGTGGGGAAGTGGAAAAAGTAGATAAGTTGATGGTGTGATTGTTGATCGCGTCGTGGTGGAATTACAAACAGTAATTTCATATTTTTGGAATTGGAATTTGACGAAGCGCTTGCAATATTTAAATGATAATTACTAGAATCAGGGGGGCTATTAGAACATTCGGGAAATATTTTCAAGAGAAATAAAAAAAGAATGAAGCCAGCCTGCCATTCTCACATTTTACTTTGACCTGGTTTGACCTGTTGACCTCGGTCCTAGGTTAGTAATGCAGGTCAGTTTGTCTCGTTATTTACCGCAAATGGGGCTGTGTTGCGGGTGTTGTTTCGGTTTTTGATGGGAGTCTCATTTTTTGGTCCTAGATATCTGATGGGAGGGTGAGGTGTGGGGGGATAGAGGCATTTTTGTGTTTGTTGGATTTTTTTTGGTTTTTGTTTTGATTTATATCATGGGGGTTTATGTATAAGCATGTATTCTGGATGACTCCTAGTATTTGTAATGTTTTGAAATAATCCGCTAAGAAATTTTGTTTGAAAAGTCACCATGTTAGAGAATATGATTGTACAACAGCTGTTGCATTGTGAAATATGCTGGAAAATTGTTTAAAAATTGTGTCAGCTATGACTGAAGATGAAGGTCAAACTTACTGTCGTGCACAAAATTTAGTTAAAGTATGAGATATATTATTCAGAACTGTTCATGGCAAACAGTGAAAGGTGCATGTTTCGCAGCGGCGCTATATTTCTGATTTGGTTGGTAAAAAGAAATCTAGGAGAAAATAGCAGGTGTACAGCATGGCACAAAATGCTTCTTAATGAAAGTTGTAACTTGACAGTCTTCATCATCTTGCACACTGTATTGAGTTTCAAGGTAATATTTAGACTCCAATTGATGTCATTTGTCAGTTATCAGACTATTGTGTATGCAAGTGATGATGTACTATATAAAAATGTTTTGTGATATTTTTTAAGTCAATTCTGCTTGAATTGGTGAATCAGAGTAGGACTTTTTTCTCGTAATTTTATAGGTGGGAGTTCTAGTAATCTCAAATCTTTCGTGATCAGTGTGATGGGAAGCTTACTTTGTGAGGCCCATTCCGATACAGGCATAGTTTCAAACATTTGACATGATTTTTGTACCTTTGATACTCTAGCAGACACCAGAAAAACTCCTCCATATACATTCTGACAAGATAGAGCTTAGACTGGTTCATTACTTGACAGTAGATTGCAAGGAAGGTAAAAAAGATTTTTCACAATTCTGGAGACAATATTTACCAGAAAATTTGTAGATTTTTAATCAAATCATCCAAATCAGAAACTATAAAGACTTGAAAGCTGTATATATTTATAATTTATGGTATTCTATTGGACAAACAGACTTCTGGGAATAATTTTTAAATACGAGCAATGTTACTTGTCTTGTGACAAACATACGAGGCTAATTGTTTGAGTAGAGACCGATGCGTGTAGATAGACATAAATGGCCATCTTATGGAGCGGAAGAAATAGTGGGATAGAACAGTTTAAGCTGCAGCAGCCTTATAGCCACAGCTGAATGACGAAAATATAACGGGCGCTCGCCCTTCAAATTGCAAGTCCATTAGCTTGTTTACCTTTTGAAGAAAAACACAACATTGACCGGTGAACTTATTATTTAGTTGTCGAACTAGTTTCTGGATTACTACACGTTTGTCAAAACGATATTTGCCAAATTATCTGTCTCTGCTGTTACACATTTATGCCTTTAAAGTCTTTTATGAATGCTGTTATACTTC